CCATCCTTTCTAAGGTGGGTAAAATGAGGACCCGGTTTATAGGGGCAATAAGCTGACTTTGTATAAAATATACAAAAGTATGAAGGCTATTGCTTAACGCATTGTAAGGCATATAAAAATAAATAAATAAATAAAAAGACCTGGAAAAGATCCTAATGTTATAGGACAAGCCAGATCCTTGGAGGTGCCGCCTGAGATCTGCAGGAAATTCCCTTCACTTATACCCACACATCTATTAACCGTTAAATATTAGAAAATGATAACATTTATTTTCTGTATCAATAATATATCTCTTGGAATATTATTATTCCCTTGGAATTAGTATGTGGCACACCCATCTGCCTTACTGCATTGTAGGTTTTTTTCATATCCTGCTGGTCAAAAGAGTTTACAAGTGTCTCTTTCTGTCAGAACTAGATATAGAATCAAAGTAAACAGTAGGTGGTCAGAATCACTTCATGTATGAGATTTGTGTGCAATCATTCTTCAATCATCAGGATGCCATTGGTAGATCCAGCACAGTTGAAACTGATGAGAGCCTCCTCATTCAGCAAAAATGCAATGTGGGAAGACTGGAGGAAACAGGATTGTTGGACACTGCTTCATACCTGCTGTTGACAATTAGTCTGCATCAACACTGGCAAATGTCATCTGTTTTACCTGGCTGCATAATTGTAACAGATTGTTGTTGGCATGGTTATATAAATTGGAAAATATTCCCAATAAAAGTTACCACCATCTGTCAATCATCAGGAAGAATTTGGGAATCCTATGTGTTATACAAACACACACAGCGGAGGTATGTAGAATCTCGCCAAAATGAAGAATACTGGGGTGTGATTGACAATTACCTCTTTGATTTTAGATACTGACATGATAATCATAACAAGGATATCTGCATTCTACATCATATCATATTTTTCAGCAACATTCATGTAATTGAATCATTGATTGCTGAACTTTTGCAGAATTTCCCAGTTAATTTATTTGCTGCCAACCAAAATCTTTTAAATAAAATATCACTAGTGACTGGCAAAAAAGGAACAAGAGCCTTGGAGTGATTAAGAAAAGAAAGTTATACTGGGGATCTATAGTAATGAAATACTAAAATTAATTGACTGTCCCCTGAATTGGTCATGCTTGCAATGGACTCTTTGAGATAAATGGATATAAAGTAAAAACACTTTTAAAATTAAGGGTTATGAATTAAATATAACTGTAAATTTAATATAAATGATTATTCTATTGATCAGACACCTGAACACATTTTTTATTCTTAGAGTTAAATGTACAATGTTGCAGTCTTATGTACAACAATTTATAAATAAGGCTTAAAAGATGGGAGGGGGTGTTCCATATAAGTAACAGGAATTTAGGGTGAAGGAAACAAAGCAAAAGTTTTGAAGACTGGAATAAATTCAAAGATAAAAATCCTTTCTTGCAGTTATAACTTTGTGATCATTCATCCTGCTGAATCTTTTGCTTATTTTTTGGGCTGATGTGCACATTTAAAAGCGGAAGAGCTAGAATAAGGAACAGGAGGAGAGGAGAAACTGAAGTAGAGGTGTTCCTTGATTAACAACCCTAATTGGGATTGGAATTTCCATCACTTAGGGAAATGGTTATTAAGCGAAACATCTCATGACTGCACCAGTACTTCTGTAGCCCCGTTTGCAATAATTAGAATAACGCTGCATTGTCATTAGTCTGTTTATGTTCTGCTGCACTCATTTCTCCCCCACCCACTATCTTCCCCATCTCTGCCCTATTGGCTGCTCTACACTCTACCACCCTTGCCCCCCCCCCCCAGCTAACCTTCACTGTTTTCTTCTGCTGCTGACAAGGCACACCCGGCCTGGCCTTTCCTGAGAAAAGATTCATTGCACAGCCAGCAGCTGCCTTGCAAAAGGCAGGCCAGGCACGTCTTGTCAGCAGGGCAAGAAGACAGTGAAGGTCAGCTGGGTGTGGCAGGGGGGGGGAGGGCAGAGGGAGTAGCAGAGGCAGTAGAGTGCAGGGCATCCAAAAGTTGAAAATGCAGGCAGGCTGTCAAGCATCCAAATTTTGATCACGTGACTAAAACATGAACAGTTGCAGGAATTGGGTACCGTATGTCTAGTCTAGTGAAAAGAAGAATTAGGGGTGACATGATAGCAGTCTTCCACTATTTGAGGGGCTGCCACAAAGAAGAGGGGTCAACCTATTCTCCAGAGCACCTGAAAGCAGGACAAGAAGCAATGGATAGAAACTGATAAAGAAGAGAGCCAATCTAGAACTAAGGAGAAATTTCCTGACAGTGAGAACAATTAAGTAGTGGAATGGCTTGCCTCTGAAGTTCTGGGTGCTCCATCACTTTTAAGAAGAGACTGGACAGCCACTTGTCTGAAATGTTATAGGGTCTGCTTGAGCAGGGAGTGGACTAGGTCCAAGGTCCCTTCCAACTCTGTTATTCTGACCATGGGGCCACTGCAAAACCCATAACTTTGAGGACCCAACCTAAGTACCAATTGTTCAGTGCAGTCACAACTTCTAACAGTCACTTCATTAAATGACTACCTGTAGTCCCGCCCCCCCAAGTCAAATTTTAAACTGCATCTTGATTCAATATATGTATACTCAAGATGGAAGGATGGCAATTTTGATCATTTTACAGGTTGTGGAGTGTTTTCCGTACTTTCCACGCAATCCTGAAAAATGATCTAGTTTTATGGCTCATGATGTAAGATAAAATAGAACATGATGGAATTGTCTATTAATCTAATGTGCTGGCACCGTTTCCAATACTATTAACTCAGTGCAAACTCTCTTCTACTGAGGGAAACACAGCAGCCAATGGATGGAGTCCATTGGCTTTATAAATTGAGCACCAGTCTAATTGGACAACCACCTGAAAAGGGCAAATCTAGAACATTTGGAGTGTTTAGCATCTTTTCTTTTACATATCATTTTATGAGAATAAATTGCGCTTTATTTACTTTGATTTTAATATCAAGTCCTTAGTCTCTTTTATGTTATTTAAGCATAATTTAAATTACTAAGTAAAAACCTCAGGTTTCTTTTCTTGTGGCTTTTAAATACAAAAAAAGTAGTTAATTTTGGAAAAACAATTCTGAACCACACAATTCAATTTAATTTAATTTTCTGAAACTCAAAATATTTAAGTATAAAATAAATATTAAATGAAAACAATACATTTAAAATCAGAAAACAGCAATGAAATTAATATAAACAGAGAGACGGAAAGAGAAAAAAGTTGTAAAACTAAGTGGAAAGAGGTAAAAGTTTGCACCTGTTTCTTCAAAAAGCTAGGAAAACTAGGACACAATTGGTACGGACCTTCGCTGTACAAACTATATTCTATATTAGGATGAGTGTTTCTGTTCAAACTGAACTCTGTATAAAAGAGAAAATTAGATACTATGGTGTTATACGCTGCATTATAAACCTAAATACAGACAGCGGCTACCAGTAATCCTCGGCTTGCAACCACTCCTTTAGTGACCATACAACAGCACTGAAAAAAGTGACTTACCACCGGTCTTTGCATTTATGACCTTTGCAGCATCCTTACATCAAAAGTCAAGCTCTTGGCAACCAGCATGGATTCACAACCGTTGCAGCTTCCTGGGATTGCCATTTGTAGCTTTCCCAGCCAGTTTCAGAAGCTCAAGGGACTCGATGTGGGATTCGCCCTGGTAGCGCAGCAGACTAAAGCACTGTTATTAACATCAGCTGCCTGCAATTACTGCAAGTTCAAATCTCACCAGACTCAAGGTTGACTCAGCCTTCCATCCTTTCTAAGGTAGGTAAATTGAGGACTCAGATTGTGGGGGCAATAAGCTGACTTTGTATAAATATACAAAAGGATGAAGGCTATTGCTTAACGCCTTGTAAGCCGCTCTGAGTCTCCGGAGAAGGGCGGCATATAAATCAAATTTTAAAAAAAATTGCACGACTCCCTTAACTGCAGTGATTTGCTCAATTGCGGCAAAAAAGGTCGTAAAATCGGTTAGGACTGCTCGCCAACGGAATTCTGCTCCCCATTATGGTAATAAGTCAAGGGCTGCTTATATCTGCGATTTCAAAGGCATACAAAAGTAGCTCTCGACTTCTCAGATCTAAAACAGAAGGGAAATGCGTCCTATTTTCGCCCCCTGGGCAAATGCAGCCCTTGCGGTTTGCCAGCAGCTTGTCTGCCTGAAGACGCTCCCTTGCGGTTTGCGCGCAACCACAGCCGAGGCAGCCCTGCCTGCGTGGAACGAGAAGGGGGCCACGGCAGCAAAGGGCCAATTTTCCCACCCACAATAATATACTGCTCAAAAAAACTAAAGGGGAGACAAGCAGAAGACATCCGAGATCTGAACGAATGAAATAGCCTCTTTAAATACTTTGTTCGTTACATACAGTAGTTTTGTGTTCCCTTTAGTTGTTTGAGCAGTGTATAAACTACGGTATGTAACGAACAAAGTATTTAAAGAGGCTATTTCATTCATTCAGATCTCCGATGTCTTCTGCTTGTCTCCCCTTTAGTTTTTTTGAGCAGTGTAATAATAATGTAAGCCGCCCCTTTAAGAGGCCTGGTTTCGCGCGAAGGATTCTGGGAAATGTAGTTTAACGATTAGGGCGCTGGGAAACTTTCCACCGGCGCGAACTCTCTTTTCACTCAGGGAGACACAGCAGCCCATGGACGGACTCCGGGGGGGCCCACGCGAGGCCAGCAGCCGCCCGGCCCACGGCACTTCCTCGCAGGTGAGCGGGCCCGGGACGCAGGTCCTCAGGTGTGCCGCGCAGCTCCTGCCCAGGCCGGAAAGGGGCGGGGCTAGAGCCCGCCCGCGCGCTCGCTAGGGGGCGAGAGTGGGCGGGCCCCGGCCCCTCCTCCGAACGGCGGGAGTGGCGGCGCGGCGCCGAGCGGCAGGCGCGGCGGCCAATGGGAGCGCCCGAGGCCGGCGGCGTCACGGGCCGGCACGCGGGCCCTGGGCTGAGGTAAAGCGGAGCGCGTGGCGGGGCTCCGTGGCTCTTGGGCGGCGCATGGAGGCGATGCCTTGCCGCGACCGGCGCGTGGTGGGCCCGGCGGCGGCAGAGCCCGGGATGCCGGCGAGCGGCGAGGGCGGGCCTCGGCAGCTGCGCTTCGCCGACCCCGGCCCGGGCAGCGGCGACAGTCTGAGCCCGGACAGCAGCAGCAGCAGCGCCGACGGCACCCGATGCTGCTGCGCCGGCGGGAACGGCTGCTGCGCGGGCGACGGGAGCGCCGAGGCGCCCACCCCCACCCCCACCCCCACGACGCTTCACGACTGGCCGGGGTCGGCGGCGGCCCAGCTCAAGCTCCTGCCCATGAACGACCAGATCCGGGAGCTGCAGACCATCATCCGCGACAAGTAAGCGCGTGCAGGGCGCCGCCCCCGGGGAGGGTCCCGCGCGGGGGTTGCAAGCTGAGCGCCTCTCCCCAGACCGCAGCCCCGCGTCGCCGCCCTGCCCAGCCAGCCAGCCAGCCAGCGGGCGTCGGGGGGGAGGAGGGGAAGGGCCGGCCGGGCTCGGGGCTTCGGGGGCAGGTGGAGCAGAGAGAGAGAGATCTTTTTTGCGGGGGGGGGGGGGGGGAAGAAGGGGGAGGGCAACTAAGGAAAGGCTGGAAAGTTGAGTGGCATCTGATATTCCAGAAGGAGAGATGGCTCTTGTGATATCAATATCTATCTATCTATCTATCTATCTATCTTCCTATCAGTCTGTCTATCTATCTATCTACCTACCTACCTACCTACCTATCTATCTATCTACCTACTTATCTTCCTATCTGTCTATCATCTATCTATCTATCTATCTTTCTATCTATCTATCTACCTACCTATTCTATCCTATCTAATTTATCTTGCATCTGTGTATATTATATAGGTCACCTCAAGGCAGCGAACATCTCCAATAAGTGCAGGTAGTCCTCAACTTACGACCACAAAGAGACATTTGTTAAGGGAGTTTTGCCACATTTGTTAAGTGAATCACTGCAGTTAAATTAGCAAGATAGTTGTTAAGTGAATCTGGCGTCCCCATTGATTTCACTTGACAGAAGGTCGCAAAAGGGGATCATGTGACCCCAAGAAATGGCAGCTATCATAAATGAGTCAGTTGCCTCTGAATTTTGATTACGTGGCCATGGAGATGCTGCAATTGTTGTAGGAGTGAAAAATGGACACGGGTCACTTTTTTCCGTGTCATCGTAACTTTGAACAGCCACTAAATGAACTGTTGTAAGTTGAGGATTACCTGTACGTCTGCCTCCTGTTTTTCCTACCACAACAACCCTGTGAGGCAGGTTGGACAGAGAGAGAGAGAGACTGCCCTCACTCACCCAGCCAGCTTCTGTGCCCAAGGGAGAGGCTAGAACCCACCTTCTCCTGCTTCTAGGTCAGCATCTTCACCATGACACAAGGCTGACTCTCTATATTGTGCCAGGTGCAAAATTGTCTGGAAGAGAGTTCTTTCTTTCATTTTTCCCTTTTTAGTGCTTTAGTATACAGAAAGAAACAAAAAGTGTTAGAAACAATGTTACAGTCTTCTTTAAAAAAGTGAATTTAAGATAAAGCATTACAGCTGACTAGTGGAATTATTTTCCATCAATTTTTTAAATTTATGTTTTGAGAAAGAACCAACTTTGTAAGCAGAGAGGGGTCTTTATAGGTAAGCCTGATGATGTAAAAATGACAGCCATGCTTCATGCAATGCAATGCTTCAGCCATTAAATGAGTACACGTATGTGGATTCTTGGTTCAGTTCCTCTGAAATACAGGCATGTTAACTCTTGCTGCGTAATAATAATGCTTGGGGTAATATTTATCAGAAATGCATGATAGATAGGTGAGTCATCCATCCAGATTTTACCCAGCTTAGAGGAGTATTACGAAAGTACAGCCACACCAGATGACACTGGCCCAAGGCATCTTCTATTCTGTAAAGAGACCAACCTGGGTGGGGGCAAGTGCCGACGTCTTTGAACCATCAAAGGAGTGTAGAGAAGCCTGTTCTGAAAGGCAGGCATTCAGGGTAGGGCTTTCAGTTCAAGTCTGCGTCAAAGTTCATAGTGTGTGTCAGTGCAAATCCGCCTCTGCTGTCTCACTGTTCTTGGCTTGCTCTCCGATCTAGTTTTGTCATAGTACTGTAAGACTTGATGAGTCCAGCTGTCTTTTATTAAAAACATTTTCCTTTGTACGTAGATGCAGAAGAGCTTTTTGGCTAGGCAGACTTTTGAGATGAAATGAATGTTCTTGCAATAACCTTGTTTAATGGAGACTGATGGATTTCACACATTGCACAGACCTGTATGTGGTTAGCTTGCAGCTTAGCATGGGGGTGCATAATGTGAGAAAGACCAAATGTTTGTCAGCACACTTTTAAATGTATTGAATTCATTTATTATGAATCAAACTTAGGTGGTTTTTTCCCTCCTGGCCCCACCCATTTGGCTGGGGGCCCTCATGCCACCCAAAGACTCAAGTGTGCCTTTATGCAAGAAAGGTTTTACACTACACCCCTGACTTAGCATTACTGTGAACTCAACCACTGTGCTTATAAAGCTACATGGTTTGACCTAATGTATAAAGCTCATTGTGATTTATTTAGTAATCTTTGTTAACAAACTCATCTTACTGTGATGCATTAACCCAATTATTATAATATTAGTGAAGCTGGATGCATTAACCCAGTTATTATAATATTAGTGAAGCTGGAAGCAAAAGAACCCATACTGTAGCTGCAATATGAAGCCAGAATTTTGTGTTCTCAGAACAATTTCAAAACCTATTTTTCCTGTTTGCTTGTAGGCCACTAAGTAAACAACACACTAGCAAAGTATATGACTCCACTTCAGGCTTCTTGCCAGCTCTAGTAGTTAAAGTGCATAGAGGCATCCGGGTTCGTTATTTGTTGGTACACATAAACCAGGTTCTGAAGTTTGTTCTTTTTGAAACAAGTCACAAAATTTGTGCAGAAAGAAGCTACCGGTATTTCTAATTCTGCAACATGCTTTAGATGGGTGGCTCTTCTAGAATATGCCACACATCTAATGTGGATGCTTCACTAAGTGCCAAGGGGCTTGTTTGAACAAAGGGCCAACAATAACTGTATAAATAGCTAATGTATTCTGGGCATCTCAGTGTTATAATTTTGATGCTTTTTCTTACCTATTCTGATTTTGGTTTTATAATTAATGTGATAATTACATTGCTTTGCAATTTGTTGAAACCTGTTCAAATGATGTTATGGCTTTTAAATATAACTACATTAAGTAAATGGTGGGATTGTATCATTTTCATTGGTCTTAATATCAAGCAATTTTTAACAAATGAAACACAGTGAATGTAGATATTATAGACATTGGTACTGTCTTATATACACCCTCATTCTAGAGTTATTGAACCAGTAGAGTGGATCTTGCTTTAAGGTAATGTCTCATTTTTTATTAAACCGATTTGGGAAATATATCCAAGCTTATGCAGCAATTCTACAACTTCTCAACAAGTCCTGCTGTGGTAAAAGCTGGAAATACCCTCTAATCTAGATGACATTGCAAATTGGGTCTTGGAAATTTTCTAGTGCAACACCTACCACAAATAAATAAATAATTTCTGCTTTATGAAAATAACTTTTCAGTAGAAAGAACAATGAAACTTAAGGACATATTTTTAACGTGGAGGATGACCTTTTGTTTGCATAATTCCTGAAATCTGGATTTTATTGTTTAAACGACCATTTCTTCCTTGAAAAGATGATCAGAAATGAATAAAGCGATCCCTAGAAGCCAGGGGTGGATTCTACTTACCTTTACTACCGGTTTGTTGCGGGGCCGCACGCTCTTCTGCGCATGTGCAGAAGCATTTTGATGATGGGGTCGGTGGGCGGGGCCTCCTACCGGTTTTACTACCGGTTCTATAGAATCGGTGCGAACCGGGGGCAACCCACCACTGCTAGAAGCCAACATGGGCTTGTTAAAAACGAACCATGCCAGACAAACCTTACTGCCTTCTTTGATAAAGTAACTAAATTAGTGGATCAGGAAAATACAGTGGATATAGTTTCCTTGGGCTTCTGTAAGGCATTTGACAAGTTGATCACAGCCTACTTTTTGGAAAGGTAGAACAATGTGGGGTAGACTGCACCACCACCAGATGGCTTCACAGTTGGCTGAGCAAATGAACTCAGGGAGGGTTAATGGAACTACATCTGCATGGAGGGAAGCATGCAGTGGGGTACTCAAGGTTCCGTCTAGGGCCCAGTACTTCATCAATCATCTAGATGAAGGGATAGAAGGGTGGAGCTCATGAAATTTGCAAATGACATCAAGCTGCCTGGAATAACTAACAGTTTAGAAGATAGGATACAGAGGGATCTTGACAGATTTCAACACTAGGCCCTATCCAACAAAATGCAGTTCAGTGGTGAGAAAAGTAAGGTATAACACTTAGGCAAGAGAAACCTAATGTACAGGTATAGAATAGGCAGTACCTGACTCAACAATTGTAACTGTGAGAGGAGGGTGGACCGCTATTTAAGCATGAGTCAGCAGTGTGCTGCAGCTACCAAAAAACCCAGTGCAGTCCTAGGATGCATCAACAGAGGGCATCAAGATCACAAGAAGTGATAGTATCTCTATATTGCACCAGTGAGGGCACACTTGGAATTCTGTGTCCAATTCTGGTTGCTACAATACAAAAAAGACACTGAGACCCTAGAAAGAGTGCAGCAAAGAGCAACAAAAATGATAAGTGGTCTGGGGGCCAAATCATATGATGAATGGTTGAGGGAGTTAGGTATGTTTAACAGGGAGAAGTCACTTTTGAGACTGTATAACATCAGTCCTAAAAGAACTGTTCTACAAATTTGGATTTGACTCTAAGGTTACAGTAATGTTTCAGGTTCTTAATTGTTTAGGGTCATATTCACAGCACTCGGCAAAATAGATGATTAAGATTGCCAAAGCTGATTCTTCTAACGTACAGAAAAATATTTGCTGGCTCAGATCTGAAGTGTACTTGAGAAAGAATTACATTAAGATCAGTGGCTTGTTTCTATTCCCTTATGTAGATAAGGTGATTTCTATCCATTTCTTATACTGATGGTATCTTGCAGTCAAAATAACATGCAATCATGATAAACAATACAGAAATATAAACATGAAAGCACACAAATAGGATACAGTAAAAGCTTTGAAACAAGATCATTGCATGCTCTTGGACAACGATGAGGCAGGGCATTGCAGGACTCATGAGAAAATTTTAAGTATGAGATCTACAGTGCCATCTGTAATGGCAAATTACAGCCTTTTGCTTCAAATGATCTCTTGTGTCTTCAATAAAATGCTATGAAAATAAATGCCACTTTACTATTAAAG